GTTGTTTGTTACCATTTCTTGTTTTGCTGTGGCTTCTTGCAGTGCACTTTTGGACGTGCACTCCTGCAATACTCTCTTTGGTACGATGCTGATGTTGATGCTGATGGTGGCGGTGGTTGGATAGTGATGGCGCACTGATCAGTGCCGACGGATCGTACTCTGTCTGGCAGCAGCAGTAAGCTGGGCAGATTTGCCGTGTGCTCCAGTGGTGTTGTTGTCTTGTGGTGGTGGTGCGCACTCGTTGACGACCACTCACTTACTCTCTCCCGTTTGAGAAGTCGATCAATGGTGCGAGCGATTGGAGCAAGGCGTCAGTGGAATGAAGGTGATGCAGCAGCTACAGCAGCTCAGCAATGGGCAGATGTAATGCTGCTGTTGGCAGCTCCCCTTCTCAGTGTTTCTCGCTGGCCATGTGCTGTTGTCTTCTCTGTGCCTCTGATTAACCGATAGTGCTGATAGTAGTACTGATGTGGCGACGCTGTACAACCACTACGACTCATCCACAGAGCACTGTACAATGTGGGGACGATGTGTTGTCGTTTTCTCAGCAGTTTTCGCAGTTACCACTCCTGTTTGCTGTTGTTTGTGTTGGTGGCAGTGGTGGTAAAGCTGGTGATAGAGGATGAATGCCAATTGCCCACCAATGTTGTCATTTTAAAGTATTTTTTCACCACTCTTAATCAGTGCACTGAAATGTGTGTCCATTGTCAATTGCTGTGAATGCATCCTTTCCTACGACTGACATTCTTCACCACTTAGTAGTTGTCGACAGTGGTTTTCAGCTCGTACTTGCCCGCCCACCTGTTAGTTGTCGTTGTCATTTTTTTCTTTTAGTCTGCCCTTGTTATCATTTGTAGAGAGAGGAAAAAAAGAGAATAAGAGAGTTCTCTTCTTCTGATAAGATCATCGGCTTCTTCTAGTGGCTGCTCGTTGTGCCAAACAGAGTGCTGCTCTCTCGAAAGCAGATCGATTTTTTGCCCTCTCCGACGTTGCTGATAAGCTGCAGAAAGGGGCAGAAAACAGAAGCGGCAGCAGCAACAGTTTACCAGTACCGTTAGCCAAAAGTCTGTCCGATTAAAATGCTGACGATGATGATTGTAATTACTATCCGCGCTCAGACACTCCAGTCCCCACCATTGCCGTTGTTTGCTGTATCTCTTGCAGTATTAGTGTTTTCTAGAGTATTTACTAATGTCCTCTTCTCCCTTCTTCTTTCTCCCATCATCAGATTGTCCCCGTGAAGGCACACAGACGTCTTTCTTCTCCTCAAAAATACCTTGTTTTGTCGCTGTAGCAGCCACACACATACACACACCAAATTCCTCCTCTTCTTCTCTTCCCCTTCCTGTTGGCATCACCCTTCCACGACGCCACCTTAGCTTTACTCGTTTTTATTTATTTATCAGCACACCTCCTTTTTTGTCTTCTTTTTTCGTTCTCTGTGTTCTTTTGCACTGTTTTTATGTTGTTCTTCTACTTCTTCTTCTACTTCTTCAGTCCACCTGCTCCTCTTCAGAGAGGAGAGCGATCTTCACACAATCACAGCTTGTGACACAATCGACGTCTGGTAAAGCGTGTCCCGACCACCTCACACTCCACTGGACACGCACTGGTCAATCGACAGGGAAGACCGAGAGAACCGGACAGCAGCTCGGTGAAGCGTAGCCCCGTCGTCTGCCTTCTTCTCCTGCACTCCACACATTCAGTCGAATCAGTGGCACTCAATTCTCTCCTCCTTCTCCTTCAGCTCGAGAAAGCAGCGAGCACCCCAACTCACTCACTCAGTCAGTCAGTTTCTTCCCTTGCCCTCTCTTCAAGTCTCCCACACCACCACCATGGGCCTCCTCGGTGGTGGAGACGACTCCTCACTGGCGTCCAGTTCGGGATGGGGCGTACAGCCACCGCCCAGCTCCTCAGACTGGGGCAGCTCCTCAGCCAACAACAATAACAACAGCAGCAGCGGCGGCGGCAGCACCAGCCTCAGCGGCGGCAACAACAACAACAACTCAGCTGCTGGCTCAGGCTGGGCGTCTGCAGGCAGTTGCGGCAGCGGTGCCGCAGTATCCGCCGCCATGGCCATCAACTCCACTGGCAGCAACCAGCAGACGGCGAACGGTGGCCTACGAGGCAGCCAACAGCAGCAGCAGTCATCGCTGAACAGCAACCAGGCCAACTTGCTGATGAGCGGCAATCAGTCTGGCGATCAACAGCAGCAGCAGTCTCTGCTGTCCTCCTCACCAAAGCCAGCTCTCTCCAGCTCCTGGGCACAAGCCGCCGGCAAGGGCCTGGTCCACGCGACCTCGGCCAATGCCTCAGGCAACGCCAGCGGACCAAACGCATCATCGACTGCCTCCGCCATCAGCAGCGCAGGCATCATCACCACAAATAGTCACGACACTTCCAATGTGGGAAGTGGTGGTGGCGGCCTTGGCCTCGGCGCTGCCTCTTCTCAGCAACAGCAGTCTTCCGTTGCATCCTCCTGTCTTTCCGCCTCAAGTGTGGCCACCACCGCCAACTGTTCTTCCGGTGGCCTGAGCATGAGCGGCAACGTTGTCAGCTCGACCATGGCATTTGGATCAGGCAGTGGTGGATCGAGCAGCAATGGCAACGGCAATAGCAGCAGCGGTCCTTCAGCTGGTGGTCTCAACATGCTCGGCGGCAGCTCCAATGTCGCAGGCTCCAGTGGCAATGCAATGGACGCAGCGAACGCTGCGGCCAACAAGCGTCAGATGGGTAGCTCCTCGTCGACCACCACGTCTGGCGCCAACATCAACGATCTCATCGGTGGCCTGAGCGACGATTTCCGTGAAACCCTTTTTACTGAAAAGTGGGGCTCATCTGTAAGTAGTGGTCACTGTGAGAGATTTTGAACTCGTACTCACCCATCTAATCATTTTCCTATTGCTTCCTTCAGGTGATAAACCAAGATTCCCCCTGGAATCTGCCCTCGTCCTCCCACGCGTCCAGCAGTAGTCCAAAGGTTCACCAGGAAACGTCCACCTGGCGCTGTCCAGTCAACTCAGGCACTGAAATCTGGGAGAGCTCTATTCGCCAGAAGAAGGGCTCTCTGGGCGGGCCCGGCGGCGTCGGCCTCCTCTCCTCCGCCTCCGTCGGCATGGGCGTGGGCGGTGGTCCGGTGCAGCCCTGGGGACAGACGCCCACCACCAACATTGGCGGCACCTGGGGCGAAGAGGAGGGCATTGACACGAGCAACCACTGGACGGGCGTGCCCCAGTCCGCCAACTCGCTCAACTCAGTCACTTCGGTGGGCGGGGGCATGGCACCGACCGGTGGCCCCTCTGGACTGGGCGGCCACTCTGCCCTGGGCGGGCACGTCAACTCCTCAAGTATTAATCCAAACTGGTCAGCTGGGCCATCGGCTCTGTCGAATGGGGGCCCTGGCTCTGGCATCTCCAATCCCTACTCGCTACTCACTCCCTCGGGCCTCGGTGCCGGCGGTCTCGGCGGTGCAAACAATATCGGCGGCGGTGACGGCGGCGGCGTCGGTATGAACAACTGGAATGGAAACGACAAGAGTGCTTACGACTCGCGCAAGGCCACCAATTGGGGCAATTTTGGTAAGTGTTGATGGTCATCACACAGGAGGAGTAACACTGCAAAGGCATACTCATATCCTCTTTGTTCCTTTTTTCAGATCAATCCGACTCTGTCTCTGAGTCGAACTGGGACAAATCGGGCAACGACGGCGGCTCTTTTGGCACCTGGAACCCGCCCGACAATCGCAAGGACGGCTGCTGGGACAAGGATTCCAATGACAGCTTCAAGGGCGTCGATGATGGCACTGCAGTTTGGGGCAATCCAGGCGGACGAAGTGGTGCTGGCAACAGTGGCCAGCACGGACAACTTCGTCAGCCTCAGCCACCGAACTGGCAAAAGGAACAGCAGCAACAGCAGCAGCAGCCAAAGTACGGAATGCCCATGCCTGGTGTCAACAGTAAGTACTCTTTAGCATCATAAAATTTATTGTCGCTCACTTTAACTCACTGCCATTGTTTTTCTTGCAGAGAACGGCTACAGCGGCAATCCTGGCTGGAACAATGGCAACAACGGCGGCAACAAGCCACTCGGTCAGAACATGCTCACTCGAACCTGGACTGATGCGAGCAGTGGTCACCGCAAGTCGCCTTCAATGTGGAATGACGACAGCAAGTCAATGAATGGTAAGTTCATTTGCTTAAGATTAAGCGTTGCAGATGATTCTCATTTGATTTGTTCTTCTTTTTCCAGGCTCCATGACACCAAACTGGAGCGATGGTCAGATTGACACTAGCAGCTGGGGCAGCAGCAAGCCAGCGAAGCCACTTACGCGAGAGATGATTCTCAGCAGCAAGCAGTACCGTCTGCTCGTCGATTTGGGACACAAGGTAAGTTGTGGTGGGCAATCGATGTGACCCCAAACTAAATGCTGTTCAACTTTAACTGACGCTTTTCTCTCTTTCACCCCTTACACACTTGCAGAAGGATGACGCGGAGAACGCTTTGCGTAATTGCGGTGGCCGCTTTGAGGATGCACTGGCCCACCTGGAGACGGTGAAGCCGATAAAGAGCGGCTTTGGCGTCGGCGGCGGCATCGGCAACAATCCGCTGATGGACTTTAACAAGATGACCCTCAGCGGTGCCGGCGGCGGCAATGGCGGCGGCAACGGTCGCGGCCATGGCGGCCTGGCGCCCATGCCACCAAACGTCGGCGGCGGCGCCTCCGCCTGTCCCCCTGCGTCGCTGCACAACCTGGCGCAACGCATTCATCTGGCGGTGAGCACCGGATTTCTCAATCCAGCGGTAATTACGCTTTTCAACTTCTACTTTTCTTCCCCCTTTTTCATGTTTTTCTTTTGTTTTCCAACCTTTAAAACCGAGCTTACCACTCACTGCCGGCTCATTTGTGTTTGGGGCATAGAGGGACTAAAAACTCACAGACGGGCGCCCGGACAGTGGGCACTGTCTTTCGGAAAACCAGTCCGTCTGGGCGTGGTACTGTGGACGGCGGCTGTGTGACAGCAGCAGCCAGACAGACAGACCTGGACGAGACGAGACTGGCGGCAGTAGCTTTCTCTCTTTTTTCCTGTAGCCATACTGGTTTCTCACTTGTCTAATCGATGTCTTCTTCTTCTTCCTTTTTGTCCTTCTTTCTTTACTTCCAATTCCACAATGGATACTTTGTGGCTGCATGACTAGTTAGTGTAAACCCATCTGATCAGGCACTGTTCTGGTACTAATTGCTCTTTCTCTTCCTCTTTACTCCACTCTTCTCCCCACTTGTAGATTCTCAATCAGCCACTGTCTAATCAGAACCTGGAGATCCTCTCTGAGCTGCTGAATCAGATTAAGAATCTGAAGGAGGTGCAAGGGCAGATGGCGCAGTCGGGTGGCAGCTTGAAGTCCTCCCTGGAGTACCGTCTGCGTGAGGTGCGCCAGAATATCACTCAGCTGCAGAATCAGCTGCGCAATGACGCCGGCGGCAAGATGACCAACAATGGCATTGGCAAGGACTACTTTGAGCCGAACAACGACCAAGGAGGCCACAGCATGAACAAGGAGGTCTTTCAGCTGAGCAAGGGCCCGGTGGACAACTACGGCGGCGGCAATGGCAATGCTCCCGGGGGCCACCCGGGCGGCGGCGGCGGTGGTCTGCAGGGCTCTCGCCTCTTCAACTGGAAGCACAGCAAACAGCAGTCGGCGGGAGAGCACGGCGGACCGATGGGCAACGACAACTTTATCCGCGCCCCCGGCGGCCTGCCCAAGGCGAACCACTCGGCGACCAACTGGAGCAACTTCATGGACGACAATGGCGGCGGGGGATGGCCGGACAAGAGCGGCGGCGACCACATGGCCGGAGGTGGCGGGCTCGACTGCGCCGACTACGGCGGTCTGGGCAACTTTGGCGCTCCCATGGGGGCTCCTGACACCTTTGACTCTGGCTATGGAAAGCACTCGTGGAAGCCTGCTGCCAAGTCGGCCCTAGTGGACGATGACCCCCGGTCGCCGATCGCACAGAAGGCCATGATGGGCGGTGACAACTCGTTCTCGTGGAACAGTGGCATGGGCGGTGGTGCTGCCTCTGCTAATGCCATCTCAAAGGGCTCCAACTCGCTGCTTGGCGGAGGTGGCGGCGGCGGCGGTGGTGGCCAGGGCGCAGGTCAGATGGACTCGCTCAACTCGCCCTTTGGCTTCAGCGGCAACACCTGGTCGTACAACAGCGGCCCCGCCCCTTCCTCTGCTGCTGGTAACGCAGCCATGGGCGTCAATGCGACGCCATTCAATGCGGCTGATCTGAACAAGAACAAGAACGCAATGAACAACAACAGCAAGCCCAACAACTCGCACACCTGGAGCAACTCTGGCCTGAACTCGGGCTCAGACTACTCTGACTCGCTGTGGACTTCAGGGGGTGGTGGAAACAACAGCGGGGGCAATGGTGGTCCTGCAGGAGGTGGAGCAGGCGCCGGCAAGCCTCGCCCACCGCCTGGTCTGTCCAAGTCGGGCAGTGTCACCTCTGGTGGCAACTCCATCTGGTCATCGGGAGGCAGTGGTTCAGAGTACCTCAGACTGCGTAATCTGACGCCACAGGTAAGTTCAATTGAATGCACTGCTCTTTATGAATCGACCCATTGACCAATCTTTCTCTCCATAGATTGATGGCTCCACCCTGAAGACCTTGTGCTGCCAGCACGGCCCCCTGAACCTGTTTCACCTCTTTCTGAACCACGGCGCGGCCATTGCTCGATACTCGAATCGCGAGCAGGCCATCAAGGCGCAGTCTGCCCTGAACAACTGCGTCCTCGGCAACACCACCATTCTCGCCGACCTGCCGCTGGAGTCGGAGGTGCAGCAGTACCTGCAGCTGATCAACGGCGGCGGCCACTCTGCTAATCCCAACGGAAATGGCGGCCAACAGTCGGCAAACAGTGCCAACGGCCACAATGCCCACAACTCCGGCGGAGGAGGGCAGCAATCACACGGCGGCCACCACGGAGGAGGTGGCAGTGGCGGAGGACACCACTCGGGGTACGGCAACCCCAACACCGCCAGCTGGTCAAACGGAACTAATGCTAGTCAGTCGAGTGCCGGTGGCGGCGCCGGCCACGTCCAATCCAATGCCGCCCCCTCCACTGCGCCCATTCCGCTGTACAGTCGGACGAGCAGCGTGGGCGCCGTCTCCGCCGGTCCCAACTCTGCGCCCATCACCGTGGCGCACATGTCGCCCTTTGCCAGCGGCTCCGCTCCCGTGCAGGTCAACCAACTGCCCTACAACAGCGGTGCCCCCGGTCTGGTCAGCTCGGTGCATTCCAACTACAACTCCACTCTGCTCAGCCAGGCTGCTGGCGGCGTCGGCGTCAACTCGGCCAGTCAGTTCTCCAAGATGGACAATGGCCTGCTCAGCTCGTGGAACACTGCCTCCTCGGGCAGCGGCGGTCTCTGGGACAGCTCCGCACTGCCCGGCGCCTCAGGCGGCCTGTGGAGCACCGGTGGCTACGGTGCCGCTGATCGAAACACGCCCATTCAGAATGCTTTCCTTCCCGGGGACCTTCTCACGGGGGACAACAACTGAGAGGCGGTAGTGGAAGTGACTCCACTCCACACACTTTGACGAGGCATTCTTGGTCGACTGGTAAGTGCAAGTTGTGCATTGTTTGTAAGTTGATAGCAGTTCCCCTAACCAGGCAAATGCACCTTTTCTTGCAGAAGTGTAGTTTCGGAGAAGACTGCAGCCAATTTGAGCCCTCATCTAATCAGCACTGAACCCCATTGCAAAACCTACTAGTTGATATCTACCATAATCCTTCTTCTCGACCCACCCACAATGCGAGCTACTTAGCCTTAGCCAGCGTGCCACACACACACCGAAGCAAGCACACACACACGCCCCTCCCTTTGACACATCATTCACAAGCCAACTCCAAGTTGATATATCAGATGCGCGCAGCACAGCCCTATTCTCCTACTTTCTCTCTTACTTTCCGGTGATATGGTGTGATACCTGCTGCTGCTGTCTGCTCGGTGGCAGGTGTCACCCCCATCTTCTTTCGTTTATCTCTCGTTGACCTCGCTCGCCCCCTTTCCAGTACAACTAGCGAACTGATCTGCACTACGAACTGCTTTGACGCCAACCAGCCAAAAACGTGTTCAACTTTCTCTTATATATCACCTGCACCACCAAGGACAACCCAGCACTCTACGCCAGCACCACAATCCACTCGTAATCTCCGCTCCTTCTGCACACCAACGTGACCTCAGCCTCACCCACGGCAGACAGTTATCCGCCTTGCCGTCTTGTCACCGGCAGACAGTATCTTTCTTTTTCTTTCTTTCTCAATGTTCTCTCTCCCTTTCTCTCTTTCTCTCTTCTTTTCCCTTCTTTTGCAATCAGCGAAATCAGCCATTGATCAGTTTGCAAATCAACCCGTGCATGAGTTCAAGCCCTTGTCCCCCTTACTCAACTTTACTCTCTATGCTCTACTTCTTCCTCTTCCTCATCATCACTTGCCACCTGCGCACTTATTGACAAATCCGTATTCTTCGCTCTGATCCGAGGTTGTGAGTCTTCACTGGTATGTGGTGTGTGCGTCAGTCCACTTCGCTATCTACCGCCACAACCAAACGAACCACCTACAATCGAGCAATTCTCTCCTTTTTCTGGTCGTCTTTCCTGTTAACTCGGAATTCCAATTGTACACTTTCACACACACAGTCGGGCCCCAAACACACANTCCACTTCGCTATCTACCGCCACAACCAAACGAACCACCTACAATCGAGCAATTCTCTCCTTTTTCTGGTCGTCTTTCCTGTTAACTCGGAATTCCAATTGTACACTTTCACACACACAGTCGGGCCCCAAACACACACAATTTTTTCTTGAACGCACGAACCAAACAGCTCTTCATTTTTTTTCTCGCCCATTTCACATTTACAAACACACACACACACACACACTCCCCAGCAAAGCTTACGTCTTTCGCTGTGCCAGTCAAAGATGCACATCGACGCAAACACTGAACTCCCACTGACCTTCTTTTGCTCTATGATTTCTTACATTTTATTTTAACTTTTTTTATTATATAATTAATCACTCTGACATGAATTTTCCTCTCTCTCCCTCTCTTTCGAACAAGACACGCATTGACAGACTCCAAACCTACCGGCAGAGACAGCCACACACTTATTGGATGATATTATTTTGCTTTATATACTTATATATTCTTTACTTATTACTTATTTTTACTTAATTATTATTTTGTCTACTTTTTATTATTATCACACCTGTAATGCCACCACCTGACAGACATTCACACCAAACACACACACAAGCACACCTGCAGCCCAAATCTGTTGTTGATATATGGATTCAATATTACTATCTGTCTAACCTATGTCTCCCACATCTTTCTCACCTACCTTTACCACTGAATGCAATCGCCTGTGAACACACAACCAGTTGCTGTCTCTGGCTCGCTCTCTCTCACTCCTGCTGGGACTCTCTGAATTGGGGCCACCGGCCAAAATCTCTCTCTCTCTCTTTCTCTCTCTTTTCTCACCTTTCTTTCCTCTGACTCCCTCCTCACTTTGACTGCGATCTTTTCTTCTTCTTCCTTCTTTTCCTTTAATCTTCTTTTCAACACTTTATCTGTGCTTGACCTGTTGCCATTATTCACTAATCCTATACCTTTTCCCACCCTCTCGAACTCTCAAATCGAAGCAATCACACCCAACACCTGACACACACTTTGCCGCTATTTAGTCGACTATTCGCTCTGCCCGCCGTTGGCTGTTCTCTGCACCGGTTTGCATTTCTCTCTTTGGCCTCTACTCTCAACCCAAACACACTTACACACAACCACACACACACTTCCTCTCATTCTCTCTTGTCAATTGGTCGGCGTCAAGGCCACCCTATCCTCCTTCTTCCTCTTCTTTCTCCAGTCTTTTCTTCCTCTAATCATTTGGGCCGCGCCCGCCGTACAAATCACCGTGTCTTTGTTTTCTCAACGCCTCTTCTCTCTCTCTCTTCGTTGGACGACCTCACCTCAGCCGTGACCTCGTCAGCTAGCCAAATCAAAAGTATCTCTCTCTCACACGCCCCTAATCAACTGAACTCTGTTGGCCAACTCGTCAACTGTTGTTGTGCATCTCAAGTCAAACTTTTTTGCTCTATTTCTCTTTCTTTTTTTCTCGTTTTGTATACTCAAGTCCACAGACGCAGACAGACAGGCAGGCAGACATCAGTGATAATTCTTTCTCCTTACCTGATGGTTGTGGTCATGGTGGCCATTGCTGGCAAATCTCTCAACCTGCTTCACTCTCACTCCCAACTCTAAGTCTTCAAACTCCGAAGCTGTTACGCCTACTTGTCATCCACCCTCTGCTGGCACACAAACTCTGCTGTCTGCTCCTCCTTCCACCTTTTCCCCCGGTGCTGCCGTCCATGTGAAGTCCACAAGTTTCGAAGAGCTGCCAGACCGCCAAAAACGCTGGCGCCCAGTGTGCGCTTCAGAGGGCGAAGGAGCAGCAGTTCAATCACCAGATAGCCACAGCGGCAGCATCAGCACCAGCCCCATTCCTCTTCCTCTCACTTCTTCTGCATCAGCAATTGTCACTACTCTTTCTGCCCTTTCCTCCAGCAGACTGGCTGTCCTGTTTGTCTGTCTCTGCTCTGTCTTTCTCTCTCCTCCTCTTCCTTCTTCTTCTTCCTCTTTCGCTCTAATCGGGTTCTGCTGATCGGCCCGTCAACCTACCTATCAATCAGCCATTGCCTCACTAATAATATTATTACTGAAACATTACTGAAATGATGAAAGTTTAATATCAATCTAATACTAAATAATATAATAAAAACTACCGACACACCCACACCCAGACACCTGATAACTGGAAAAGACCCACCTAATTGATCAATGCCCGAATCAATGCCTGACTCTACCACTGACTCCACCAGCCGTCCTACTACCGAGAATTATGATTTCCCACTGAGCACCTCACTCAAGCTGGTGAACTGAAAGCCCTCAATGTCACCACAGTCAGCCTGTGATATACTCTTTTGTCTGTGGATTCACTTGCCTGTCACTACGACTCCAATAATAATAATAACTGAATGACCGACACCAGCGAAACAGCCAGCCACTGTAGGAAGGTGAGCTGACCACTACTGATCATCATCACTTACTCCTACACCGCCTGCTACAACGCTTGCCTCCTGCCTCACCCGATCACACAGTTGCTGGTCCTTTAGTGGTCTTCTTCTCAATACCACTCTTCCTGACCGCCATTCACTCTATCTTCCAAGTGCTACTACGTCCTTACACCTCACCTTACTTCCTGTCAACGCCGTCTGCTTGAAACTTGTGACCACTACTATTTTATTGGCTGCCACCTTGCACCTGTCATCAGACCCCTTCCCTCTCCCCTCTTTCTCATCGAGTTGCCTCACTTTATTTGCTTACAAGTTTTATTGACACATAACAGCTTCTATTTTTTCCTTTTTCACACATAAACTGATATATTACCATTCTTAACCATATGATGCTATCACATAAATATCTATATTTTTATTCCCGCAAAGGAACAATTGCTGCAACCTGTGTAGACGCAGAAACACACTACCTGTAGTCACTACGATGCCTCAGACACACAAGCCCATATGAGCACGTGAACCTAATCTGGTCAAGGGTAAGGGAGTTGCTTGTTCCTGATATTCTCACTTTGAATTCCAAGCCCTCTTCTCTCGCGTGATACTTTCCCTCTTTTTCCCAATCGCACCCAACTCACACTTTTAATTCCTCAAATGTTTTCCCCTTTTCTCCAAATAGTCAACACTACCAATCATCATTGACTCTCATTTTGTTTATCTTACCTTTCCCAACTATCTCTCTTATACCTCTCCTGTTGATTGTTGCCATTCTTGTAGAAAACTCCTTTTCTTGTACAGACAACTCCATTATCTGCCACTGACCTTCCGGTGCATCAATGCCACAATTACTTACCTAATCGGCAAACTATTTGGATTCAATCTGTTCTTTGCTGAACTTCTTCTTCTTCACACAACACAAAACTAAACTGAAAAAACCAGTGGCTAAATGCTACGCAAAAAAACAGTTCACTACAGCCCCTTTTACTAGGTTGTGCCCTTCTCTTTTTCTCTGTTTCTGAAATCACTATCATTTCCGCGGTTGCTATGATGGGACAGTGAACGCCCATTCACTAGTAACTCCCCTTTTTGCTCAGACCTTTGTTTTCATTTTTTCTCCCCTTTTTCTTCAATCAAGTGATATCAACCACAAATTGTTTCTCTTTGAGTTGGATCAAACCGTGTTATCACTACTGATCACAAGCCCACCACCACCACCATCACCACACAAACTCACATAATCTTCATCTCCTTCTCTTTTGCACTCTTCAAACAGTAGTAAATCAAAACGAATACCTTCTTTCTTTATCTCTCTATTTTACTACCTTCATATGTCATGTTGGTGATAATCTCACTGAAAGCTGATCAAAGTTCTTCTTCTATCTGCTTACACCACTTACACACTTACATTTGTGCTTTTCACTTGCCCTCATTTTCACCTGTCCTCCACTTCCTCTGTGTGTCTTTTTCCTTCTCTATATTCTTGCATTTATATACTATTCCTGCTTTTCTTTTCTATATTTTATTACTGCATTCGTAGTCAGACATTCACAACAAAGCATTTGCTCCTTATTGACTCAGTGGATTCAGTTACTGCTGATCAGGTGTCACTGCGGTTCTGGGGTTGCTGTGCAGCTTCACATCACTGATGACTTCACTTTAATCTGCACTTACAATCAAGTGGAAGCAGCTCACACACACAGTGTTGGACTTGGAAAATCATCGCTTCAGTCAGCTCGTGTGCATATCCCCTTCACTGAAATGGGCTTGCTTTGCCTTCTTTGCTCCTGTGCACTTCTTTCCACTTGTTTGTTTCCCTGTCACACCGCAAACCACTTCTGTCTATCTGGTCATCATCTCAAATCTCTTTGTTTTTAAAATTTGAATATCCCTCCACTGTGCTTTTGTGCTCTCATTATCTTCCACTGAATCCATTTCAATGTCTGTCTATTCATTGTTATATCCACACTCCCCTCGCAATTTCCAGTCTTACTGATTTGGAATCTTCCACTGTGCTTCAAAGCCCTTCTGTACCTGTGGTGGTCATCACTGACTGATGTTGGTCAGCCTGGAACAGCATCAATCGACAGCAGGGAATACCAAAACCAAGCAATGTCTAACCCAAGTGATCCTCCTCTCCAAACCTTACCCCTTCTCTCCCTCTTCCTCTTTCGTAGTATCAGTCAGCTGCTGGCTCAAAGCATCAACTTCCTTCTGCTGTGTTCTTTTCACGACTGCTGTTCGGGTCGTCATTGTCGCTCTCCTGTGCAATGATATTCTCCAATTGAAGCATCCAAAATTTGCTCTCAACCGTCCTCCCTCTTTCCTTTTTACGTTTTCCTACTCACTTGGCCAAACATACTCTCATTGCTAACCACACTTATCTTTTATTCTTCACACTCTTTGCCCTGTCGAACTTGGTCAGATGTCCCCACCACATGTGTCCAGCCAGTCACTCAATATCTCTTTATACCTTTTCCACAACATTATGACTACCTATGCCAATTACTTTCCAGAGCAGTCCAAATGTTAGCAATACAACCATCTCATAAGCACACACACACATTCATTCAGTCAGCCAGTCTCCCAGTCAGCACTACCCTGATCTTATCACTACCAATCTTACGCTTATTCTGAGCTCTTTTCTCCTGTATTCAACGCTACACAATTTTAACTTCTTTTCCGTCAGCAGAAGGACCGCACAGAAACCCATCGCCACAGCCTAATCAACTTCTAAACTCTGACTACTTTGGCAGCTCTGCAGTCCACTGTGCCACCAGTCTCAATGTTTCAATGCCAATGTATTTTCTAAGCAATCTTAACCACCTGAATCACCACTAGCCTCATTCAGCATACAGCACAGTTATTACAAAACACTTTATAAGATGCCGATTGATAAATACTATATATTCTTTATATTTTCCTACACACTTCTCTCTTTCTCTTCTCAGACTGACCAACTTCTGGTTGCGGACACAAACTTCTCCTTCAATTTGACCCTCCTCTTTCTTATCCGAGTCTTAACCTCAACTTGATATTTCTATGATTGTATTATTTTTTCTCTCTTAAAACTTACCAATTACTCTCTGCTACTTCACCTTATCAAGTGCCACATTTTTTCTTCTTTATTGCAACCTCTAAGTACCCGATATAAAACACTGAGAAGGTGTTTACTGCAAACACAGCGGATGCGTGTTCCCACCAGTTCTCAACGTTCTCAGTGTCAGCTTCCACCCTAATATGCACATATTCACTTATTCTTATTCGGAACACTATGCTCTGTTTCTAATACTACTCGCTCTGTGAACCTGTAATAAAAAACTGGCTTCTGTTTTCAAAAACCAAAATATAAATGTTGTTGCTTTTTTGGGCATACCATAAAAACACTTTGGTACTGTCACATGATGCTTCATTTTGTGACTGATTTGTTCTTGCCAATTACATTGCAAACACTGTTGCTATTCCTTTCATTTTATTCTCCCAACCGATCCAGCCACTTTATGATGCCTTGACCACAACCACTACCAGACATTTTATAATCCCTCTCACTAACACAAACTCTTTATAATATCCTTCCAGTAAAATGCACTCCTTTCTTTGCTTTTTTACATTTCTTCTAGTCACAACCAGCAGAATTCATAATCAGCGCATATCGAATAAACCACTTGAACCTTACAAATTTTGCAACGAATTTTTGCTGTGCCAAATCAAAATTAGTTCAGCCAAGTTTTGCCAGATCATTTGGGCAATCTAACAATTCTGTCATCGTTTCCATTCACAAACTGAATAACTCAATCGTGTTTTCAATTGTATCACACACATTATGTCACTAAATATTCATTGTAAATGTGATTTCAGAGAAAAGTTTTAAAATAAAATCCAAAAACTGCATTATTTTATTGTCTCTTTACTTTTTCCGAGTTCAGGCCGCTACTTTATTCGATATCTGAGAGCTTCTAAACTAAGTTTTTAACAATTTAAATGGTTTTCCTTATAATAAATCAGTTATGTACTTGCATTTTCACAATCTGTTGTATTCGTCAAGAGTTATCCCTTATTTATGGTCGCAGAAATGGAATCAACATTTACTACTCATGAAACGAGCACCAATGAAACAAACACCGACAATGTAACTGATTTGGCAAAGAATGCCCAACTGTACAAAAGCATTGGCATAGGCACAGCAGTGGCAATTTTCCTCGCAATGATGCTGTACCTCATTATCTGCTTCGCATGTTGTAATGGCGCCGAAAAAGTTGGTAAGTGCCTAGTTTACTGGGTTTTTAAACATTCAGACATTCATTATCACCATTCGGCTGGCAGCTTCAGCTCACAGATCTCGAATGGCAAAAACAACCACAAAGACTGCAGCAAAGAAGGCAGGAGGCAAATCGAGTAAGAAATCAAAAAAGACCCAGGCAAAAGGCAAAACTACAGTACTCAAGTCAGCAAAGATCAAGTCAAATAAGTGAAGGAGCATTCCTTTTTGCAAACACTACTGTGCATTTTTAAAAATAAAGTTCGACAAATAACTTAACCTTCTAGCTTATAAAATGGCAGTCACACGTATTCTCTATTCTCAAACTGCGCATACTGTGACTTTTTATCAGCTCTTGATCTAGGTATTTTTGACTCCCCTCTTCTCTAGCACAAGCAAAGCTCTACTTTCGCTGAAATGGACTTCTCCCGCTATTATCTTGGAGACAAACAGGAGAGTGAGCACACTGAGGAAACACACTCTGGCAACAGCACTGATGACGATCTCAATGAAGGAAGCCATTCCACTGCCATCATCGTCATCTGCACCATTCTTGGAATCCTCACCCTTGCTGTCATAATCTACTTCTGCTTCTGCCGCAGTGACGGCAAAGCTGGCGGTGGTTCGAAAAGTGCCGGAAAAAGCAGCAAGTCAAAGAAGGGGAAGTCCATGAAATCTAAGAAATCTGGAAAGAAAAAGTTCTTGACAATGCGAAGTAAACACTAATTCTGTGATTCTGATTCTAAGATTCTGTAAGGAATTTTAACATTTGTAAATTCACCAGGGTTACTAACTTTCTATTTTCATACACAAGCCCAACACCAAGTAACACCAGCTAACTTGGTCGTCTTTGGCCATCGCATTCATTTTTATGTTTTTGTCTTTTTCCTGAATGCATTTAAACTGTTTTTCAATCTAATGTTTTGTCATCTTTTACAACTTGCTGTATTTATTACGCTTACTTGAAATAAAAAAGAAGGAAACTCGAAAATTCAACAAGAAAAGTTTCATCAACGGCACTTACCGTTTCAAGGCAACTTCTCGAAAACATTCTTGCTGACCACACGTGCTCACCAGGGTAAACATTTCAGCATTTCAGCTGTGCCTCTCTGCGATATATGGCAAACAACATCTCATCTTGTGACCTCTTCTTCTGATCATCTCACCTGCGGAAATCTACTGAAAATGGAACCTCCTGCTAAAGCGGATGAAGCATTCGATTCGAAAGGAACACTCATTATGGAGAATCGATTGTTGAAAGAGTCACTGACCATTTGTTTGGAGTTCAAGCGCATTCTTGACCATATGTTTCGAGACATGACCGAAAAAGAATCTAAAGCGTTTGAAAAGTATAAGCCTCATTACTGGAAACTGTCGCAAAAGTACCGTGTGCTCCGAAAAGCATTCGGCGACCACCTAGTAGCTTGGATTGACAACATTGACTCTTCGGAATTGACCAATTGCTTCAGCTCCGGTTGCAAATTACCAAGTTGCAACAAAAAAGATGACGACAACACTGACACTAAAGGTGTTTCTGGAGTCGGGTCTAAAGTAATGGATACAACTGTTGAAATTGACTCGCCTATGGAGGACAAAAAAGGAACTACTAAAAGACCTCTTTTTAAAGAAAGTAAAGAAACCGTTGTTGATGTTCAGTTGGCAGAGACAAACAAGCCATCAAACTGCAATCTGACACGGACCACATCATCGGCCCCGAAAATCGTCTACGTGAAAAAGGTAACGCCAGTTAATGATTCAGTTCCAGCCCCTCTTCATGAAAATAAAGTCGCTTGCTCGTCGCAACTGCCTCCTAAAAAGGAACATTCATTGGAGAAGAAAAAGCCAAAACTGTCGGACAAATAATTGCTAAAGCAGTAAAAAACCTTCAACAGCATTATGACAATTATACACAACGATTGAAAAGTGCAGAGAGTGCTGCTGTTTCACTTGTTACGAGGCTCTCCGCACACACTATCAGGTACTCATGTGTGAACTGTAAAACCGACCTAAAATGAAGACTTCCCAGAAAACATTGTTTATTCTTTTCCTAAGTTTCTGTTCACATTTCATTTCAAAATTTAGCGGCAGTATACTTTTATTTTCAGAATAATTCCAGTTGTTTTCTTTCAAGATTTTCGTAAAACACCTTGATTGTTAATTACTCTCNCTCTCTCTCTCTCTCTCTCTCTCTCTCTCTCTCTCTCTCTCTCTCTCTCTCACAACTATTGTTTAAAGGTTGTACACTTGTCCACCACCGATCACCAGCAGTGGCTAATAAAAGTGTCAATGGCATCATCATCATCATCCACTGGTTGCCTGCCAATGCAAGCACACAGCTGGTGCCTAGTTACCAGAAGCAGCACACCGGCAGAAAGCAGTATATCTCTTTTTCTTTCTCTCTTCTACCGTACCCTTTTCATTACAGTTCTGGTTGAGCTGATACAGTCACCACCACCAGCAGTATCACTAATAGACCGAGTCTATCTCAACGCACACTGCACGCACACAAACACACACATTTTGGTGCCAACAATGAGCAGATCTTGTACAGCAGTGAGACCGCCGTAGGCAGCCGCCGACTGAGACTGGCCACAGCAGACTCAGTTGACAATCGAACTTTTTTTGGTTACTTCTGACGTGTGCCAGCAGCTGCGGCAGCCAATGCCCCGCTCACACCGTTCACACTGAACATCACCCTGTCGTGTCACTCTCACAGCTGCCTCTTGCCCACTCATCAGTAGCACATTTTCACCTGACTGCTCTACTTTTTTTCACTCTCACCTTTTCCTGTCTGCCGTTATCAGCTTGTCTGCCGCCGCCACTGCAGCATGGCGCCCAATCTGCTGAAACTGTACATTCGCCGTTTCCGCCGAGACCCACTCACCTGGGCGCTTATCATCGTTCTCTTCTGTCTGCTGTACCTGCTGTACCTGCTGCCGGAGGGGCAGCCGTACAACGGTAAACAGTTCGCCTCGGAGTACTCGAATCACTCGGCGGAGAGCTATGACACGCTCGACGTGCCCGCCGGTTACCAGGACTCCGAGCTGACGAAGCCGGTCTATCGAGATGGCGTCCTGGGCAACTACGAGCCCACGCGAAAGCTGCGCTCTGCCTTCAATCGACCCGGCGACCACGGAGAGCCCTACTCGCCGCCTTCCGGGGTGGACACGCAGATGAACACCTACGGCATGAACATGGCCGCCAGTGACCGCATTCCCATGGACCGAATTGTGCCCGACCTTCGCCACGGCGAGTGCCCCTACTGGCACTACCCGGAGAAGCAGCTGCCCACCGCCTCGGTGGTCATTGTCTTCCACAATGAGGGCTTCAGTACGCTGCTGCGTACCGTCCACTCGGTGCTCATTCGATCGCCACGTCGACACCTGCGAGAGGTCCTTCTCGTCGATGACTTCAGCGACCGTGCTCCGCTGAAGAGCAAACTGGAGACGTACATTGAGGAAAACTTTGGCACTTTTCAGCATGACTTTGTACGCCCTACAAGTGCTGAATCACTGCAAGGTAAGTCATTTGTGCAGTGATCCAACTTTTTAAACTTTAACTCCTCTTTTTCCTACTTTTAGGCGAACGTCTGAATGAAAAGTCCGGCAAGGTGCGCCTGCTGCGCAACAAAGAGCGCGCCGGTCTAATTCGAAGTCGTGCTCGTGGTGCTCGTGAGGCGCTGGGCGAGGTAGTCGTCTTCCTTGATGCCCACTGCGAAGTGAACTACAACTGGCTGGTGCCGCTGCTGGCGCCCATTGCCGAGGACCGAAAGACGCTGACCGCCCCGGTCATTGACGGCATCGACGCGAACACTTTCGAGTACCGACCGGTGTACGGCGCTAAGACGCACTTCATGGGCATTTGGGAGTGGGGCATGCTCTACAAGGAGACGGAGATTGACATGAAGGCACACCTGGAGAAACACCGATTCTCAGAGCCATACGAGTCGGCCACCCACGCCGGCGGACTCTTTGCCATTGGACGGCAGTTTTTCCTCGAGTTGGGCGGCTACGATGAAGGACTGCTCGTCTGGGGCGGAGAAAACTTTGAGCTAAGTTTCAAGGTGTGGCAGTGCGGCGGACGACAGTTCTGGGTGCCATGTAAGTTCAGTGCTCATCTGTCAGCCAAAGTTTGACCTAACTTGTGCTTCCAATTTGTAGGCTCTCGCGTGGGCCACATCTATCGCCCTTTTATGCCGTACAGCTTTGGCTCGCTGGCCTCTGCCCGCAAAGGCCCCCTAGTGCTGACCAACTACAAGCGCGTCATTGAGGTGTGGTTCGACGACACCCAGAAGGAGTACTTTTACACGCGCGAACCAATGGCTCGCTACTACGACGTCGGCGACATTAGCGGCATGCTGGCGCTGAAGGAGCGACTGCAGTGTCGCTCCTTTGACTGGTTCCTCGGCACCCCCGTCGGCTCAATGGTCCTCAAGGATTTTCCCCGTCTTCCGCCGAATGTCGCCTGGGGTGACGTGAAGAGCGCCGACAGCCATGGACACTGCCTAGACGCCACCGGGTCGCATCCTCCGGCGGAGATTAAGCTGTATGGGTGCCATCGCAGTGGAGGCAACCAGATGTTTCGACTCAATGCAAAGGGCCAGATGGGATTTGGAGAACGGTGCATTGATGGAAACACATCCGGGTTAAAGGTAATTTGGTTGAGGTGATTTGGGTGAACTTTTATATAAACGATTTCTTTTGATTCCAGGTAATTATCTGTCCGATGGGCAAAGTCAACGGTCCCTGGTCCTACCAGAACGCCACTCAGCAGATGCTCTACCGTGGCCGACACTGCTTGACGGCGCGGGACAATACGGTTGTTCTGGACACCTGTGATGAGGCTGTGCCCGCCAGCCAAAAGTGGATCTGGCGACCCATTCCACCTAGAGCTTAACTTCAAAGGGAGCTTTTCAAAGCGATAAAACTTGTAAAGTACTCTTGTCAATTGTTTTCTTGTATTTATTTTTATGTATCTGTTTTTGTTGTAAATGTGCTCTAAACTTAACTTTGATAAGAAAGTTTTATTTTCATTGTTCTGTTGATCTTTTGTGTTTGCTTTTGATGGTAACGTCGTATGATATATGATAACTTATCCAATCTACTGATCTCCATATGATACGTATTGTTTAAGGTTTTGGAATGCTTGATAAAGTCTAGTTTTTTGTCAAGTACTTTTATCAAACTGCGATAAACAGCATTGTGCACACTTTTGTACAGCAGGATTACAAAATCTAACGGCACAAAAATAGGACATCCTTGGTTTGACTTTATTTGTTACAAAAGAATATTGTAACGGGAGTTTGTTAGCAGCCGCCACTCTTGCAAAAGAGTGCTCGTTCAGCATTTCGCCGTTTGACCAAACCAGCAAGTACCCTTCCGCCAGCGTGAACAAAAAGCTTGAAATCGTTTGCTGCCGCCTTGAAGTTGTGCGCCTTGATGTGCTTTCCCATGGTGCCGTGCTGAAGGTTGCCACAACCGAGGTTGTAGACAAAACTGACCAGAGCTGCAAACTGATTCTCATTGAGGTGCGGCGCAAAGTGCTCCACACAGGACTCAAAACGGGCGAGGTCTTTGCGAAGCAGCGCTGAGCCCTGCGCCTCGGTCAGTGGCGGGTGAATGTGGCTGCAGTCACTAGAGTGGCAGGCGTGTCCATAGCCGATGGTCTTGATTCCAACAGCATCCTATTCAATGAGAATGGTACATCAATTAAAGCAATCATCATCAGGTAACATTTAAAGAGTTACATTGTAGAAGTGGCTTCTAAAGCCTTCAAAGCTTTTAATCAAGTGTAGTCCGGCTTCATTGATCTCCCGAGCAGCGACACCTGTCAGCAGCATCAGCCCAGCCAGAAGCATCAACGCAAAGATGCACTTGCTGTTCATTGTTGGGTGTGTTTCAATTGAGAAGTGTGGAACGAAACAACAAAAACTGACTAAGATTGTCAGCAAATCAGTGTATTTTTATATACTTCCCCATGCTCTCTAGTGTCTTTCCATCGGTGAGATTAGACCGACACAACATTGTCCACCATCACAGGTGGTCGTCAGATGACTAATGGAGGGTTTTTGCAACGTTGATCATCGTTAATTAGCAAAATTGGCAAAGCGTCACCGCTTTAAAAACTGCACTGGCGACCAGTGGAGAGTAAGCTTGTTATCAGACTTGACAAATCTCGATAAAGTTATCAGTAAGGACATTCACTGCTAATGTGTCTCCTGCTGTTTTTTCTTTTTACGGCTTACAACGATGGTCCCTGGAGGCCCAAGTATAATCTGCCCTTTAGCAAACGTTTTGGCAGCGAAACTTGAGCTTTGTTGTTATAAGGCTGAAATTCGAAATCATTTCAGCCACAAAACTCAACTGCCAGGCAGCTCAGCGTTTCACTTTTGTTTTGCGCGTTAGACAAACCAAAACGTTTCAGTTCTGACAACACTTTGTACACTTTGTTTCATCATAAAAAATCTTTACCGAAGATGACCAGCTGCTCCCTTACCAGCGTTTTTGGTCGCCTTCTTCTGCTGATCGTCAATCTGGTCACTGGATTAGCCGGACTGGCCTTTATGTTTATTGGCATCAACGGGCGTGATCCATCTGCTTCTTCGCGTAACATCGACTGGTCTGCCACCAATGTGGCCCTCATTGGCGGCGCCATTCTGCTGCTTTCCTTGCTGGGCATCTTCGCCAGTCTCCTCAATTGGAACCTACTCCTGAAGGGCTATGCTGTCATTCTTCTGATTCACGTCCTCCTAGTCACTGCTCTCTACCTCTACGTGGCCATCTTCTTCACCGCTTCGGTTATGGACTTAGCGCAGCAGTACTTTGAATCGCTGATGGTCGCCTTCAACGAAGACAGTCGCGCCCACCTGATCGTGGAGATCATTCAGAAGACACTGCTCTGCTGCGGTAGCCTGGCTCCTGCTGACTGGCACAATGTGACCACTGGAAACTCTGCCAACAATCTGTTGCCCACCGGCTACTACCCGGCCAGTTGCTGCAATGGTCAGTCGGGCTTCTTCAACAACTTCTCCAGCAGTCTCTGTCTGGAAAAGGATCTGCTCTTCACTTCAGGTACTTTGTTTTTGCCAGAAATGGTCACCTACTTTACTTTTGTCTTATTCCCTTATCAGGCTGCTTCTCTCCGGTGCAGATCAGCCGCTACGTGCACAGTCTGACGGCCTACTACCTGGTGGTGCTCACCGGTCTCCTCCTGCTGGCCTTCATCGCCTGCTGTGTGGAGCGTGACGGACAGTTGAACAGCGCGAAGCAAGTCAACCGCCAGTTTGCCGCCCACATGGAGACCTGCCGCTCGACTCGAGGCAGAATTTGGCGCTATGCCACCCTGGGCGGCGGCAACCCGGCTGCCAAGGAGTCGCCTCGTGCTTTCTTCTAATCTTGCATATCTTTTATCGCTCCTGTGTCTACTTCATTGGTCAAGACGCTGGTGCTCCTCTCATATTCTCATTCATTGACCAGGACAGCATATATATTTACTATATTGTAGAAATTACAACTCAGTGTAACTGTAGTGTACATTGAAATGTTCCCAAACTTTAAATACACCTACCATTTGCTTTTGTTTAATTTTCTTACTCCGGAGACCACACGTGAAGGCACACAATCATACTCTGTAGTGACGCTAGTTTCACTATCCTCAGCTCTAAAACCTTATCCTGTTTACATAATCACGCCATCACTCTAATTAGTGGCGATGTCTGTTGATGTTACAGATGAGTGTTTGATTGTTGATACTACACCTGCAAGGTCGGCAGCATTAGTGGTCTTCTTCTAGTTAGTGGTGCTGTACATTTGCTTATCAGGCTCTATCAGCAAGAACTGATGACTCTATTTGATCAGCAAATATTGGTGTCTGTAGGATATGCAATGGGTAGCACAAATCCGCCATTTGTACATTCAAGGCAGTCGGACATTGAAGTGGATAAGCTGTGTTCGCTATAAAAGCAGCACGTCGCCTTTTTCCTTGAATACTTTGTTCTCAGCACAGCACAGCAACCGACCATGTTCAAACCAATTGCCATTGTTCTTCTTCTCGTTGCCGGCACTTTTGCCCGCCAGATCAATCATGAGGGCCTCAGCCTTATCAAGGGATTCGAGGGATTCCGCGCCAACTTCTACAACGTAAGTGTTTAGTGCCTCAACTGATAAACGTGCTTGACTAACTGTCTATGACCGCTTAGGACGCTGTTGGAATCAAGACCATCGGCTATGGACACGCTTGCCACGCCAGCGACTGCAGCCACATTCACCCGCCACTGACCGAGGCCCAGGGCTCCGCTCTCCTGCTCCAGGACCTGGCCCGCTTTGAGTCCTGCGTCGAGGGCTACGTGCACGGTCTCGATGACGACAAGTTCGCCGCTCTGGTCTCCTTCGTCTACAACCTCGGCTGTGGTTCGCTGACTCACTCTACCCTTGGTCGTGATGTGAAGGCACACAACTTCAAGGGCGCCGCTGCTCAGTTTGGCCAGTGGGTGCACGCCGGCGGCCGAGTGCTGCAAGGTCTGGTGCGACGACGAAACGCCGAGCGAGCTCTTTTCTGCAAGTCTGGTGGCTGCTAGTCTGCTCTGATACTGATCATGCCTTTTGAACTTCTCACCAACTTTGAACTCTGTACAGTTTGTAATGTAATAAAGTAGAAGTAGAGTTCATCAGCTTATCAGTTTAATTGTGTTTCACGTGTGCTTCAGCGGCTGACCGCAACTGACCGTTGCTGGCGTTGTTGACGCTTTGGTCGCCATCGGCATAAATGCAGCTTGTCGATCGCTGTGAAACGCACATTCGCGTTTGTTCGTCTTCACTCTCAACTCCCCAACAACTCCCCAACAGCTCACCATGCGCGAATGCATCTCCGTTCACGTCGGCCAGGCTGGTGTCCAGATTGGCAACGCCTGCTGGGAACTGTACTGCCTGGAGCACGGCATTCAACTCGAGTAAGTTCTATTTGTTTTGAGTGGCAGGTTTAAACGAGTGTTTCATTTCTAATCGTGAACCTTTGAATCCAGCGGGCAGATGATTGAGGGAAAGACCACCGACGACTCCTTCAGCACCTTCTTCAACGAAACTGGCGCCGGCAAGCACAGTCCTCGTGCTGTGTACGTCGATCTGGAGCCGACCGTGGTGGACGAGGTGCGCACTGGAGCCTACAAGAATCTCTTCCACCCAGAGCAGCTGATCACCGGCAAGGAGGATGCTGCCAACAACTACGCTCGTGGCCACTACAGCATCGGCAAGGAGATTATTGACATTGTCCTCGGTAAGTGTTCTCCATTTTTATTCTATTTGAATTTAGCTGTAATGAGCGTTTTTTTTCTCCACTTCAGATCGCATTCGCCGCCTCGCCGACCAGTGCACTAGCCTGCAAGGCTTTCTGATCTTCCACTCCTTTGGCGGTGGCACGGGCAGCGGCTTCACCAGCCTTCTCATGGAGCGTCTCTCCTTGGATTTTGGCAAGAAGAGCAAGCTGGAGTTTTCTATCTACCCCGCTCCGCAGGTGTCCACTGCCGTCGTCGAGCCCTACAACAGCGTCCTCACCACCCATAGCNTTTTTTTTCTCCACTTCAGATCGCATTCGCCGCCTCGCCGACCAGTGCACTAGCCTGCAAGGCTTTCTGATCTTCCACTCCTTTGGCGGTGGCACGGGCAGCGGCTTCACCAGCCTTCTCATGGAGCGTCTCTCCTTGGATTTTGGCAAGAAGAGCAAGCTGGAGTTTTCTATCTACCCCGCTCCGCAGGTGTCCACTGCCGTCGTCGAGCCCTACAACAGCGTCCTCACCACCCATAGCACACTGGAGCACTCCGACTGCAGCTTCATGGTGGACAATGAGGCGATCTTCGAGATCTGCCGCCGCAACCTCGACATTGAGCGTCCCAGCTACAGCAACCTGAACCGCCTGATTGGCCAGGTGGTCAGCTCGATTACCGCCTCGCTGCGCTTTGAGGGCGCCCTCAACGTCGACCTGATGGAGTTTCAGACCAATCTGGTCCCTTATCCGCGCATTCATTTTCCGCTAGTCACGTAAGTCGATGTCTGTGAAAGTTGGTTGACAAAA